TGCTTCCAATTTGAGGCCTTTTATATAGGCGAATTGCATCTGAATTACTGTTACAGTGAAGGCTCCATAGTCAGCTCGCGGCATATAAGCAGGGGTAAAGTGCTATTGGGGAGCGGACCTCACCTCCTCTAGGGGGGTCCGGGGGGATATTCCCCCGGGAAGATTTTTTTTTAAATATTGAAGTTGAAAGCATCAATCTGGTGCACTTTGAGAGCAACATGAAGAGTTCAATGGATACCTCTCTCAGCACCCATATAAAACAGAACTGTAAACAGATTTTCTTTTTCTTTATGGATATTTTACAAATCACTCCCCTTTTAAACTGTATTATTGTTTTACTGACATACTGTATAGTAGGCTATTTCATACCTGTTTTTCATTTATTCTCTTATTGTTTGTATAACTATAATGATCATATGAAGGTGTGCCGCGGAAATAATCTTTTGAATAATTTGTGACAAAACCATTCTAAACACTTAGAGTCCTTTAGCTCACCTGAGCCCCTCAGTCTGACAGGAGAGGACTCTCCTCCAGCTTGTTGTGGTAACAGCTCCTTATGTCCGTTAGTTAGTTAGTTAGTTAGTGCAGCTAGCTAACCAGATGCTAACATCATGGTCCCCGCTAGCACCGGTCCCTCTCTCTCCCTCTCTCCCTCTCTCCGTCCCTCTCTCCCTCTCTCTATCACACTAAATGCGCTATTGCCACACACACACAGAGCCGAGCTTGAATGACACAAGCACACGTGTATTTCCATGCAACTCTCTGATTGGTGTGGTGTCTTGCCTCTGTTGCGTTCAGTGAACACGGGAAATTACAGCCCTGCCGTTGTCTCTTGTGTCATGATGAGGTTCACGTAAAGCACGGTTAATGTATTATATTATTGAGGTGTCTCAAATATACGTTAATCAAGTGGCACCTGCTAACGGGGTGGTGGATGATAGGTTTACATCTAAAAAAATATTTTTCAAACATTATTTTAATTTAATTTTTCTTTTGTTACTTTTTTTTTTAACGGTCCGCGATCTACCCGCACCACACTCGCGATCGACCGGTCGATCGCGATCGACTGGTTGGCGACCACTGATCTAGAGAATTCGAACGGCACTTATCATGGCTGCTACTGAGGTACTTCCAGGTCATTTCACTCCGTTAGGAAGGTTCCTAAGCTAAATGGGCTATTCGACTGCAGCCCAAGTGTTCCTTCATTTTGTATTCTCCTACTCCTCTTTGAAAAAAAGCTTACTGCTTGTTCATATAAAGTATGTTAAATAATTATATTGTGTATCAAGTGAGTGTTAGAAATTAATGTTACATGTTTATAGACTATTGTTTTTTTACTATACCTCTTACTGGACATTTAATTTACCTCCTACTGTATAGTTTTTTTTTTTACCGGCAGTGGCTCAGTCAGTAGTGGCTTGGACTGTGAGCCATAGGGTCGCCGGTTCAAGTCCCAGAACCAACCTAAATGTGGAGTATGGACTGGTACTTGGAGAGGTCCTAGTTCACCTCCTGGGCCCTGCCATGGTGCCCTTGAGCAAGGCACCGGACAACCCCCCTTCCCCCCCCACTGCTCCCCGGGCGCTTTACAATAGCTGCCCACTGCTCCTGTACTAGGATGGGTTAAAAAGCAGCTCTGCATGTGTGACCATTAAAGAGGGTTTCATCCCTCCAATTCTATCCATCTATTCTATTCTATAGTGTAAATGTAAATGTTTGCTCTAATATATTTTATTTGACATCTTTGACTTCTTCTGTTTATATAAATATTTTTATTGGATTTTCTAAATATGTATTTATTTATTTGATTCCAAAATGGAATAACAATCACTAAACCCAACTTCCCCGGGGATAAACAGAGTGTTCTGATTGGATGGATTGGTGTCATTACAGCGTCTGTACTGTACAATGATGAAACCCCGGTATCTCTTCATCAGCCTACCTGTTTGTGGGGTCCTCTGACGATGTGTGTGCGGGCCCCTTCACACGCCGTCCTCATGGCCTCCATAGATGGAGTCCCCAACAGGTCAGTGATCAGATCCAGCTGCACGGTTAAACACACGTTATGGTTCAGCATGCCGGATCGT